ATATAACTAATGAATCAAACGACCTTCAGACGGCCATCCGATACCACCAGACCACATCTCAACGAAGAAAAGGAAATAGGGCGGACGAGCCTTCCTAAGTCTTTTAACCATTATTTATATGTACCTATACAAGCACAGACATACATCTAACTACGATTGAGTGCGTATCAAGTGGAAACGTATTATCGTGGTGTGAATTCATATAGTGTGGAATAATCGATTCGTGAAGTATAAGTGTACCAAGTATAAGTGTATCAAGAAGTGGAAATGACAACTAGTGAAGTAAAAGCGTCTAACAAGTATAAGTGACTACAAGTATAAGCGATATAGAGACAATAACCGGTATAAGCATATCATGTAGGAAATGTGTTATCAAGTAGGAGTTTTAAATATGTGAAGCGAAGCAGCAGTAACAAACAAGTAAGAGTATACGTCGTGAAAGGGAACTTCGATGAAAACCTTGGAAAAACCTTTATACTCAGGGAAAATCACATTTGGTATTCTTTAGTAAAATTAGTTTGAAAAACTTTATAAATCCTTGGAACCTTTATAAACCAGTTTAAAATGAATTTAGATAAAACAGTATAAGTAAGAGTTTTGAAACAAATTAAAACCTTTTTAAAACTATCATAGTATCCTACTCGGTAAAACAGTGTACAGTGTGGTAAAATACTATGCATGCCTTGACATGTGTCTGGGGCCGTAAACTCCTTTTAACCCCTTAAATCTTTGTGTTTAAATGCTCTAAACCCGAAATAGCAAGTCCCTAAATTACATCTTAAGCCTAAGGGTGGTTTGGGAGTGTGTTTGGGGCATTTTGACAAGGTTTAGAGGTGTTTACGGCCTAAGCATGTGCTTGGGCCATAAACTCTCTTTTATGCCTTAAATTGATTGTTTTAAATGAGCAAACACTCCTAGGCTAATTCCTCAATTTATTTCCAAGCTTTTAGGGACAAGTTTGGGTCTTTTTGGTCTCAATTAAGGTGTTTACGGCCTAAGGGGGATCTTAGGCCGTGAACTCCTTTTCAACAGCTGAAATGGTCGAATTTTAAGCCATAATCATGAGTCATAATGTTTAGAACAAGCTAGGGTAAGTGGACTTACGATTTGGAAGCGTTTGGTTGCGGATTTTGATCGAAAACGGGTCTAGAGAGAGAGAGTGTTTAGGGAGTGTAAAAAGTCTCCAATGGACTCCACTCACCTTTATATAGGGGTTCGAGTCGGGGCTCAGTGGAATTCCACCCAATACTGCCGTTAAACGGGGCTTTTGGTCGCAATCATATAACATTTATCACATAAAAGCATTTTAGGCATCTTTCCTAAAATATACTATTGCTCGTGTCGAAAATATGGTAGACACTCATCTCACGATCATCACTTAGCATTCTAAGTTTAAGTCTGGAAATTTCCTACAAATTCCTAGTTCGCTTAAACTAATGCTCTGATACCAACAGTGACATCCCTAATTTCACGGCCAGAAAAGACCGATTTGTTTATGCTTTGTTTTAAAATCAGAGTTACCTTTTATAGAAAAAAATTGCGGAATTTGTCCCAAAAAAACACAAAACACAAAATATGATAACCATTTATCAAAATATTTCTTAAAAAGAATGCATTTTTTTATTAAATAATAAAACCTCGGGATGTCATTATCCGATAAAGATTAAAAGCATAAACAATATAAAATAAACCTTACAACAGTCATTTATAACCACTGATTTATAATCCAAAATCTCTCGTCGATTCCACCAATTTACACTCTTGTGCTATACCTGTAATGTAAAGAAAACTAAGCGGGTCAGGCTTGGGATCCTGGTGAGCATATGGGGTTTTCAACCCACAATAATATATTTATTATATTCAATCATCAAACAATCAACCCAATTACCCATCCCCATTATCTTCTTTATTTCTTAAGGTTTTACCCTAAGAATCGATTATACTTTCTTCATTCATTCCTAAGGATTTACCTAAGGAACTGGCACAAAGTCCATTCGCTACCACGGTTTATACAACAGGCACTACGTCGCATAGTCACCAGGGTTCATACAATTGGCACTACGTCTCATAGTCACCAAGGTTTACACAATAGGCACTACGTCTCATAGTCACCTGGGTTTACACAAAAGGCACGAAATCATATCGTCACCAAGGTTTATCAAATAGGCACGAAGTCGCATCGTCACCAAGGCTTAATCAATAGGCACGAAGTCGCATCGTCACCAACTATTCCATCTACCCATGTTCTACCCAACATTTTTATTGATATAAATACAAACATAATTTAAATCATTTAGCACCTGTATAAAAACATCAAATCCAAGTCCATCTCAAATAGATAATTAATATATAACACATAGCACGTATTTCATAACTAATACTTTATATTTATGCGTTAGAAGAAAGTAACTATGCGTTCATGCATATAGACAACAATATATATATATATATATATATATATATATATATATATATATATATATATATATATATATATAACATGTATTTTATAAAATACTTCATATCTATGTGTAAGATGAAAGTGACTGTACACTCACTTGATCAGAAGATGATCCAACAGCACTACGACTTGTCGAAGTAGTATTCTTGGATAGATCTGGAAGATCTTCACTAAAACTGGGCTCCTTGCGGGCAGGTCTTCGGCTCGGGAATCTTACTTCTCGGGATCGTCGGGATTTCAGAACTTTCTTCGGGGCTCTGGAATGATATCGGGGCTTTGGGATATAATTGGCATTCAAATCGAGGCAAAAACTAGAGAGAAAGGAAGAAAAATGGTAAAAGAATCGACTAATCCCGGTTTCTATTTATAGGCTGTTGGGTCTGGGATTACATTGGGCGTAATTTTAGAGTACGCTGGGCGTACATAGAGTACGTTGGGCGTACTCTTCGGATAAGCTTTGATATGCGTGCCATGATCTTAAAAAAATCATAACTTTTGCATACGAACTCCGTTTTTGACGTTCTTTATATCCAGGCGTAGGTGAGATTATGCTCTACAACTTTCATTTAGACTCCATCGGCTAATTTTGATTTATTTTTATTATATTATTTTTTTGTTGGCCGGGACAAGAAAACTTCGTTATAAAATCATAACTTCTTCATCTGACGTCCGTTTTTGTCTGAATTTTTACCGTTGCACTAATAATGATGAGATATTCAATTCTTGTTTAGATTGTTTCGGCTAAAAACCGCTCGATCTCAAATCGAGTATTCGGGCTGCATACCGCTAAGTCGAAACTTAGAAAAATCATAACTTCCTCATACGAAGTCAGATTTGGACGTTCTTTTTATGCACGCTCACGGTTTAATGAACTCTACAACTTTCGTTTAGATCACTAAGGCTAAATATCGCTCTAACGTAAATTCACTTTTTACGACATTCAGTATCGTGCTGGTTCTGTCGTGAAACTTCGATAGGTCACAACTTCGTCGTTATAACTCGGATTTTAGTGTTCTTTATAAGTACGAAATCCTTGTAACATATACTATAACTTAGTTAAGATTATTTATTCTAAATAATCTTTTGTCGAAAAGTCATTTTCGACCCCTATTATCTTTAAATTGCCTAGCCCAGATCTACAGACGTTACACTTATCACCCCCTTAGGATGATTACGTCCCAGAATCATCAATGAAATAGGGCTTGTAAAATGATTCCAAACTTCTGATTTAAGTCAGTTGTTACATCGAACTTGGTCCTCCGAACCATGTAACCAACTCATCGTAGTCGGACTCAATTTGGATACGACTACTAGGGTCGAAAGAATTTTTTTTTATTTTTTATCTTACTAGTCATTACCGAAACAATGGTAATGACATACCAGAATAAAACGAAATCAATCACTAGATTCTTAGTAACCTTGTGACTTTCCCTGATCCAAGTGTGAGTCATGTGCTTCCGGTAGTATATGCATCTACTACCTTTCACACTTACTCATACTCGTCCCAAGTATTGTCTCGCAGTCCCCAACTTCTAAAATCAGAAGAAAAAAAATTAACACATACGAATGTTTCTACATAATCATATAAGTTTCCTTAGACTCTACTAGGATTTCTTCCATGTGTATCTCCAGTCATCAATCCTACTTTAACTTGGTTGGTGGTGGAAAGTTCATCGGATGGGTCGACTTTATGAATAACACCAATATTCCATCATCCCGCCAATCGAAGGTGGACTTCGGACGTACCGTACTCTTCTAAACGCACTGCTTGACATATACTATCGACAAGACACCACTCTTACGATATCTTCTGAGAGGTGTCATTCACTATCATAAGCCTTTTTCATTTCCTCCGTTTACTCAATTTTTGCTACGAGACTTCACCATGGCATTACATTCACAGAAGCATGCGTCCAGTACATCAAGACAAGAATATAGATAGAAAAGATTTAGACGTGTAATACTCCTTATTACTCCAAAAAGTTATATGCTAGTTCTAATATCGTAATTAAACGTTTAGAAACCTGAGCACGTAAAATTTCCAGATCCGGTCGCTAACAGACCATAGATCCGAACAAATAATATCACATATGGCAATCATATAACATTTAGCACATAAAAGCATTTTAGGCATCTTTCCTAAAATATACAATTGCTCGTGTCTAAAATATGGTAGACACTCATCTCACGATCATCACTTAGCATTCTAAGTTTAAGTCTGGAAATTTCCTACAAATTCCTAGTTCGCTTAAACTAATGCTCTGATACCAACAGTGACATCCCTAATTTCACGGCCAGAAAAGACCGATTTATTTATGCTTTGTTTTAAAATCAGAGTTACCTTTTATAGAAAAAAATTGCGGAATTTGTCCCAAAAAAACACAAAACACAAAATATGATAACCATTTATCAAAATATTTCTTAAAAAGAATGCATTTTTTTATTAAATAATAAAACCTCGGGATGTCATTATCCGATACAGATTAAAAGCATAAACAATATAAAATAAACCTTACAACAGTCATTTATAACCACTGATTTATAATCCAAAATCTCTCGTCGATTCCACCAATTTACACTCTTGTGCTATACCTGTAATGTAAAGAAAACTAAGCGGGTCAGGCTTGGGATCCTGGTGAGCATATGGGGTTTTCAACCCACAATAATATATTTATTATATTCAATCATCAAACAATCAACCCAATTACCCATCCCCATTATCTTCTTTATTTCTTAAGGTTTTACCCTAAGAATCGATTATACTTTCTTCATTCATTCCTAAGGATTTACCTAAGGAACTGGCACAAAGTCCATTCGCTACCACGGTTTATACAACAGGCACTACGTCGCATAGTCACCAGGGTTCATACAATTGGCACTACGTCTCATAGTCACCAAGGTTTACACAATAGGCACTACGTCTCATAGTCACCTGGGTTTACACAAAAGGCACGAAATCATATCGTCACCAAGGTTTATCAAATAGGCACGAAGTCGCATCGTCACCAAGGCTTAATCAATAGGCACGAAGTCGCATCGTCACCAACTATTCCATCTACCCATGTTCTACCCAACATTTTTATTGATATAAATACAAACATAATTTAAATCATTTAGCACCTGTATAAAAACATCAAATCCAAGTCCATCTCAAATAGATAATTAATATATAACACATAGCACGTATTTCATAACTAATACTTTATATTTATGCGTTAGAAGAAAGTAACTATGCGTTCATGCATATAAACAACAACAACAACAACAACAATATATATATATATATATATATATATATATATATATATATATATATATATATATATATATATATATAGACACACACACACATAACATGTATTTTATAAAATACTTCATATCTATGTGTAAGATGAGAGTGACTATACACTCACTTGATGAGAAGATGATCATACAGCACTACGACTTGTAGAAGTAGTATTTTTGGATAGATCTGGAAGATCTTCACAAAAACCGGGCTCCTCGTGGGCAAGGCTTTGGATTGGGAATCTCACTTCTCGGGATCTTCGGGACTTCAAAACTTGCTTCGGGGCTCGGGAATGATACCAGGACTTCGGGATATAATTAGCACGCAAATCGAGGCAAAAACTAGAGAGAAAGGAAGAAAATGGAAAAAGAATCGGCTGATCCCGGTTTCTATTTATAGGCTGCTGGGTCTGGGATTATGATGGGCATAATTTTGGAGTACGTTGGACGTACATAGAGTACGCAGAGCGTACTCTTCGGATAAGCTTTGGTATGCGTGCCACGATCTTCAAAAATTCATAACTTTCGCATACGAACTCCGTTTTTGACATTCTTTACATCCACGCGTAGTTGAGATTATGCTCTACTACTTTTGTTTAGACTATGTCGGCTAATTTTGACTTTATTTTTATTATATTATTTTTTTGTAGGCGGGGACAGCAAAACTTCGTTATAAAATCATAACTTCTTCATCTGACGTCTGTCTTTTTACCGTTGCACTACTAATGACGAAGATCTTCGATTATTGTTTAGATTGTTTCGGCTAAAAACCGCTCGATCTCAAATCGAGTATTCGGGCTGCATACCGCTAAGTCGAAACTTAGAAAAATTATAACTTCCTTATACGAAGTCAGATTTGGATGTTCTTTTTATGCACGCTCACGGTTTAACGAACTCTACAACTTTCGTTTAGATCACTAAGGCTAAATATCGCTTTAACGTAAATTCACTTGTTACGTCATTCAGCGTCGTGCTGGTTCTGTCGCGAAACTTCGACAAGTCATAACTTCTTCGTTATAACTCGGATTTCGGCATTCTTTATGTGTATGGAATCCTTGTAACATATACTATAACTTAGTTAAGATTATTTATTGTAAATAATCTTTTGTCGAAAAGTCGTTTTGGACCCCTATTATCTCTAAATTGACTAGCCCGGATCTACGAGCGTTACACCTTGAGCTTACCAGCCTCGAGAGTGTTGGGCGCTAGCTGCCTCGTTAGGGTTGCAGACAACATAAATCCGCTATAAGACTTATGCTAACATATGTTGTTTTGAGTTGGAGTTTCAAGTCAAGGATATGGTGCTAATGAAGGTGTCACCCTAGAAGGGTGTTACTCGTTTCAGGAAGCGAGGCAAGCTAGGCTCAAGATTTATTATACCATTCTGATCGATTTCTAGGGTGGGTAAGATGGCCTACTGGTTAGCGACGAATGACTACGCCTAATTCACACTCGTAGACCAAGGACGAATGGCTATTCCGAATCCATACTCTCGGATCAAGGATGTCATAATTCTACTCGTCGTTCATAAACTGTTGGAAACGACGTTTCGATTTCCATAGATATATAGAACGCTTAAATCCAACTTTGTATGAAGAAGTTATGTTTCTTTGAAGTTTTGCGACTAAACCGACACGACTCAGACATGACTACCCGTTGAGTTTAAGCATATCAATAAATAAGCAGTGGAAAAGAAACTTTCAAGGATTCCCTTAGTAACAACGAGCGAACCAGGATCAACGCAACTTGAAAATTAGGTGGCCTCGATGCTCGAATGGTTAAGAATTACATTTATTATTAATGATTAAAACTAAAATTGGTTAACAAAGAAACAAAACATCAAAAATCTAATAAAACACTAATTATTCTAAAAAGATATTATTGTTAAGAATCACTTTACACATTCTTGATGAATACATTCTCCTAGAATACGCTTTTGTTCTCCATGTTTTCTTTATTTTCCACAACAATGTCAGCCTCTTCAAAACTAGGGATTGAAGATTTTGTCAACTACATCAAAAGCTGTCATCTTCGCAATGCTTTTTGTGATTATCTGGAGCCATTCTACCCTAAGCAAGTATGCAAGTTTCACCAGACACATTGTATCTGATACTACACATATTTCGTATGTTTTACATTTTCAAGTAGTAGCAACTGTGGTATCTAAAGTGAAGACCAGAGCACAAGGACCTAGATTAGGAATAATTTTAATTTACTTGTATTTTTCCTTGTTGCTTATCTAATAGATAGACTTTTAATGTAAACCCGTGATTTGACCTAGGATGTAAAGTGCTTTAATTAGAGCAGAATTCTACATTAGTAGATAAAACTCTAATAATTCTCTAAGATTAGATGTTAGAAAATGTAAGTCGTTACATACTCTCCCTTGTTTGCCTCATTTACATGTTCGGTCTTTACACATGTCGGATAGCATCTTTGTGATGTAGTCATTCTACCCTTTATGGTGTTGTTGCATTAACAATCTTAATGATAAGAAGTTATCATCGTAACCGTCTCTAACAAAAATTGTACGAAAAATGAAAGTTTAATAAGTGTTAATAAAACTTTTAACGATTTAAAATTATCAATGAGTAATTTACCAATGTCATAAATATATAAAATGGATGATAATTACTTACGATATCATCACTAATTTAAAATTCAACATGAAGATACATTGAAGATTGAAGATGATAGTTTGCTATTACTTTAGCGGGGTTAACAATGCCAATAAAATAAATGTACTAAACCTACCCCTAATAAATCCGAAAAATAAGATATCTGGATGGATGAAATATACATTTATATACTAACATACAATGGTTAAATGTTAATTAAGTTTTGATCATCAACAATATATTTAATTTATACTCCAGGTATATATAGATTTACACGTCTTAATGCTTACATTCAACGGGCGCAAGGTGATCACCCACCAAAGTAGTCGTTTTAGACGTCATACTTCTGCTTACAAATGCATCTTCCTGTAATGTATACATAATAAAAAGTAAAAGTTAGTTTATTCAATTTTTAAAATCAGTAAAACAATATTTTGAAACCACCATGCTAGTATATTTGAAATTTCTATATTTGTCTTTCTTATTCGGGCAATATACATCAAACAACTATCTTTTGCCCATTTGTGGTTTAACTACTCTGAATCGATATATTCCACTAAAGGCACCAAAGTGTTTAACAATTTTTCTATGACAGCCACTTTGACCTCCTATAGCAAGTTAAGGCCATGTTTGCCACAACTATCTTATAAGCTAGTTTATTTTTTGATATTTTTTAAATCGTCATGTATAACAAACTAAAAAGTAACTTATAAGCTAATTTTTCAAAAGCTAGTCCGACTGACGTTCAACGAGCTTATGGAGCTTCTTTAAAATTCTCTAAAATATATCATTTATTAATTATAAAAGGGAAAATGACTTAAAAGCCCAACGAAGTTTCCAAACCGTTTAAAAAACTTCAATCATGTTTTGTATGTTCAAAAAAATCTAACAAACTTAACATTTTATCTAAAAAGCCCAACTAAGTTACACTTTTTCGAAAGTCAAATAAGGAAAACAGATGACGTGGCTTATTACCGTATCGGAAAAATGACTTGTTAGACCAACGAAGTTTCCACAACGTTTAAAAAACTCCAATCATATTTTGACTGTTCAAAAAAAAAACCCAACGAACTTAAACAAAACAAAATTGGAATTTTCTGAACGGTTTGAAACTTTGTTGGACTTTTTAGACAAAAGGTTAGGTTCGTTGGGTTTTTTTGAACAGACAAAACATGATTGGGGTTTTTTGAATGGTTTGAAAACTTCGTTGGGCTTTTAAGTCATTTTCCCATTATAAAACACTCAATTTTCTGCATGCCCTTTTATGTATTTTTACATATTTTAGATAGTTATCAGCTAGTTTACCAATCAATATTTTTTATCTGCTAAGTGGTCATTATATAAAAAAGTTGTCAAAGTTGAGTAGTTTTAGTGAAACACATTTTAGGGAATATAGGTCGAATCAATAACAAAAAAAAAAAAAAAAACCTGTTTCATAATCGGTTCACTTATACATAGGGAAAAGTTGATTGGAAGTTTAACTACTGTGAAACAAAATATTCCACTAAAGCCACCAAACTGCGTGTAGCATATTAAAGTGGTCATAATAGAAAAAAAAAAAAAATGGTCAAAGTTGAGAGACTTTGGTGAAATATTTTAATTCATAGTGGTTAAAAACCGTAAAAATAACCAAAATATCATGAATTTTATGTATATTGACAATCTTATTATAATATATAGTAACATAAATTATTGTAGCATAAGGTGATAAAGGTGGTACCGATGAAGAACACCGTGCACCATCATGTATTATTCCCTCTCTAGTTGATTCCAATCTTGAGATGCAATCTTTTGTTTGACCACTTGAAATAGCCTGCATTATTATGCAAAACATATAAAAATTATGAGTTTCTAGAAGCACTAATTTTATCCCTATCAACTTTTGAAACACATACCAATTTTGGAAATGGAACATGACTTATATTATTTGGAACATAATATTTTTTATTAAAGGTGTTAATCTTCTTATCTATTTTGTTTTTCACAAACACCATTCCTTTAAAAAAGTAACATCAGAAGATAAGCAAACCGAACATTGTGTTCAAAAAATACCATTATTGTAATGATATCTGGTGAGCAAAAACAAATAGTTTGGTAAAACATTCATAGTATTCTATAAAAAAATAATAAATTGTTCGTTATCATTTATGACATTAATTCATCATAATGCGAATGGCCCTATATTCCTATACCTCAAAAACCCCTTCTTGTTGATTTAAAAGAACATGTCTATTCTTGTAATCATGTATAACTGTTAAAACGTAAAATAAATCTATAATTTATTTTTTACCTTAGTAATTTGAGGGTCTCTCCAAGGTCCTTTATCAGATCTTAGGCAACCGCCTTTTTCTTCACAATTACAGTTACCACCTAGAAATTCTGGCAATTCACTGAAAAATCAAAAAGATGTAATCAACTAATCATTAATCAAGATCAAATTTACTCGAACATGTGCATAATTATTCAAGAACTATTTCATTAAATTTTTTACCTTTCATCAATTACTTCAAGCAATGTGCTTAAAAAATTGGTGCCCAAGACCTGAGGATGAAAAATATCAATACAAAAGTTGTGGTGATATATAACAGCTTAATGTTTGAGAATAAAAATCATTAAGTCGAATTACATGAATCTTGGATTTTGCTTTGGGTTCAAGAAATGACTGAATCATATTCCACAGCATCTTAAATCCAGAACCAGCATTTATGATGAACATCTGGCAAAGTGTCTGCAGATTTCATGTCTCAAGTTTAGAGCATGTAAATAAGATATTTCAAAAAAGATAAACTTCAACTTCTGAAATTAAATATAGAAGAGTTAATCACTAAAATGACCAATATGGGTAGGCCTATATTACAAAATGCCCACCTTTTGAACAAATTAATATCACAAAATGACCCCATTTGGCAAAATGGACTTTACATAATAATGCTACATTTTTTTGCAAAATGATATCATCTTTTTGCAAAATCATGATGTCATTTCGGAAAGAAAATTTCCAAATAAACTTTTATAAAAGATTTACGAGTGAGGACCAATCTTAAATCAATTTTCCAAGTCCATTTTGTAAAATGGATGGTTATTTTGTAATATTTGTTCAAAAAGTAGTCATTTTCTCATAGAACTTCACTCATTTTTGTCATTTTAACCAATAAACCAAGATACAATTTACATATCAAAGGCGTTACATTAAACACAAGCCTAGGCCTATTCGTATTACAACCTGTGTATTATATATATGTTGATTTATGCATATATACTTGACAAGAAATGTTAGAAATTTCTATAGATTTTGAAGTTAAACTTAAAATATATGTCACTTGACGTATTTAAACTTCAAAATCACATAATTAATCTGTAAAGAAATTTTAGTTAGTAACGTTGTAATAAATGGTAGCAGAAATATACATCGGGATAGTTGTTGTTAATCTGTTGCAGCCTCCTAATAAGTTCAATCACCGGTTTTGTAAAGTTCCACAAACCCTACAAAAAAAGAAAAAAACATATGAAAACTTTAAAAACAAAATACCTTCATTCCAAAAATCAAGCCTAATAAATTATCTTATAAATATGTATATATACCACTCCTTGAACATCTATAATTGTTGTACTAGAAGAAACACGTCTTCCTGCTGCAATTGAACATGATGGAAACCTAATCGCTAATGTCCTTTCATATTCCTGTACGTAGTATTTCACGTATCTTTCAACAGTTGTCACCTTCATAAGCTTCTTTGGATCAGCTTGTCCTAATATTTCTATGTAAACAGGCCTTCCTTCCTTATCGATACCATGGTAACCCTGGTGAAAATACTGAAGAACTTCATCCAATTCACTGAACTTGAAATCCTACCAAAAAAACAATATTTTTACAAGATTTAGATAATAATTTAGCAAACTTTTAAGAGTACAAGACAAATGTATATTATAATACACCCTAAAAAAGAAGGAAGTGACTTTAGCATGCACTTTATCGTGACAAAAAGCGAATAAGGAGACTAGAAATTAAATAGTGCAACACTAAATTGTTAATTTACCTCTAAAATGTTGTCGACTCCAAAATCTTTCCTCCATTGAAGCATGCTAATCCACATTTTCTTAGTGCCTTCGATATTAAAATTCTTGGCTACCAAGTATCTGCAAGGAGAATGTTTGAGTCTCAAATTGTGGAAATGACCATTTTACCCTTCTGTCTAAAAGGGATGCTGAATAACAATCGAATGTTTATCCAGGGATCGTTATAACTTGAAATTGTTAATGACCAAAAAAAAAAGTTTACATGACTAACAATACTTGAGAGAAAGAGAAAATCGACCAATTAGTAGGAGAAGAAGATGATTGGGTTTCAATATGTTCAAGAGAAATAAAAAGGAGAGTTTGGTTGAAGGGTAGCAACGTAAAAAAAGAGTCTTAGTGGATAAAGACACCCTCCCATTAAGCCATTCTACTTATATTAAGGAGAAAAAAACATTACTTTAAAGTAATAGATTGTTAATTACCTCAACATCATATGAAAATCATCAAGAATTTCTGGTAGCAAGTTGTCTTTTATTAGAGCTTGTCGAAAAGCATCAACTGCTTTAACCTCATGAGGATCTTGAGCCTCCCCTATTGTAACAGAATCTTGATAGATTGTTTTGTTTCTACTTTTTCTCTCTCGAATGATTTTGGAAGAAGCGTTTTCTTTATTTTTCTTCCATGTTCCACTTGTGCCTTCTTCATCAGAGACTTCAAGATTTGTATCCCATGAGTTTCTGTCATCACAACCAGGGAACCCTTCACGAAAATTTATATCGAGGTGAAAAAATAAAAAAAACATACGAACAAAAATGTCAATTGTAATAATGTCCTAAATTATTTGGATGTTAAAGACAAACAGCTTGATGTGTTGAAAGTTCAAACCTTTATGTGTCTTTGTCATTGGTTTATTTATTATATGGATCTCATCACTCCTCAAGGTATTGAAATTTGTACGTTTCTTAATCCTCTAATTATTAATTTTGTGGCTCTGATTTCTGATAATGACATATGTATTCTTTCCATATGAGATACATAAAACAAAAAAGGCTAAATGTGCAAAATAAACCGGATAAGTTCTTTGGCAACATAAACCTATGAGGAGTTACCCTACAAAATTTGGATGCTATAGAATCACGTAAAATTCACTATTCCAACTATTTTTCATTCTATTCCTCTAATCTCCATTTAAAAAGGAAATCATTAATAGAAACTAGAGAGATAATTAACCAAGATAAAATCTGACTCAAATCAAATTAGTTATGTATAAACATTTTACCAATTACCATACATCATTCCTTCAATTCAGAGAAACTTTGGCAAAGATTTTGATGTTGAGACATAATTCTTACACAAAATTTCATATTTAAACAGAAATATCTATTTCTTATGAAACACAAACTTTATTAATTAAAATGGTAGAACATGCAAATTTCAAGCAGAATTTCGCCCTTCCACAAAATTAATACATCTATGCCTCAAGTATTTACAAGAAAAAAGGTACTCACAAAATAAGCGTGTTTCATTCATATTGTTTATATTAAATTCGACTCCAATAGCCATATTCAGTCGATGAACACTGATAAAACATCAACACAACTAACTGATGCTACCAAAACAGACATGTCGATGAGATATCTAATATCAAAGTAAAAGAGAAAGAAATGGAATTCTCACGAAAATGTAGAAAGGAGCTTACCAGGCAAAGAATTGCGAACGATTGATCCAGACATGGTGTTCTATGATATGATAAAGTTTATAAATCTTCGAATGTTATCAACCGAAGTGTATTGGAATCAAGACATACAATCACCGATTGCTTAGAGAGAGAGAGAGAGAGAGAGAGAGAGAGAGAGAGAGAGAGACGGCAGCGGCACGGCGGAGAAGGGCGGAAAGAGTTGAGTGTTCCGTTTTGGTATGGTGCAGCTTTCGAGTGTTTAATTTCGCAACGTCACGCTTTTTATGGAGAATATGCGAATGTTTAAGGATAACATCTTTCTTAATACTCAATTACGAAAATGCCCTTCCAAGTTCCAACTCTATCCACGTTTTCTTTTTCTTGGATATGCAATAATAAGGTCGACAGTCGACAAACCGCAAAAAACAAACTAGGATTGAAATTTGAGTACCGAGTCCGAGTTGAAACCGGTTATGGTTCTTTGGCTTTTAATTTGTTTTTGAAAGTGAGGTGATATTTTTATTTATATTTTTGATTTATCTATAAACAAAGAAATATTATAAATATATAAAAGTTAAAATATCTTTTTTTAATAAATAGATACAAAAATTAAATGAAAACATCACCTTCAATGTGAAAAACCTTTTTAAAACTGTTTGCTTTTAAATTGAACTGATTACTTTTAAGAATTTGGAAAAGAATTATATTTTTATTTTTCAAATTAGAAATATAAAGTTTGTATTTAATCAATAGTTGGGACCAATTGGTTTAGAATATCTTCGATACAAGTTTTTTTTTTTTTTTTTTTTTTCTAATAGTTTTTTACTATATATTTAACCACTCAATATCACTCAACTCCATGGAGGGGATAGCTTTTTTATTGATAGTTGAATACAGATAAAACTGCAAAATTGATTAATGTGGTAAGTATTTTTTTGGGTTTTAGTTGAAATCTTTATTTTTTTGGATTTGCGGTTATTTTCAATTAGTTTCGTTTAAAATGATTGTTGTAACATTCCAAAATTTTAAATAAAAATAAAATAAGAATGTTACTGGTTTAAATATGTCAAATAACGTGATAAAGTTGGAAAAATGCAAATAATGATAAGAATTAACAAAATGCTCAAAGTAAAGGGACCAAAAGGAAATTTTGTGGAAATAAGATGCAAACATGCTCCATTCATTCATTCTAATTGTATTTTGCAAACAAGAGGCAATTATTCACTCATTTTTTTTTTTTGAAATTGAAATAAACAATAAAAATAATAAATCCAGTAATTACCTTTTTAAAAAGATAATTAAATCTTTCAAGAACATTTATAATATAATATTTCTAAAAACATTAAGGAAGCAGAAAACATCACTAGTTTAAAAGAAAAACATAACATAGCAATTTTCATAAAAATCTTCAAGAGAATGTCGTCTGCTGTCACACTGGTCTCTTTCTTTTATTAAAACCTACCAATCCCAAAAATATTAAATAATAACAGATAAGCATAACGCTTAGTTACTCTACCATTATATAGATAACTTGCTTACACATAACATAACATTTCACATAAAACATAAGACATAAAAATAAACATTCCTAGCACATATTGTTGGTACCAACCATAACGTTGTTCCCCTTCCGGGAACTACCCCTTACTCCCTAAATAGGGAATAAAAGATAAGAATGCAGTTTGACTCACTAGAGGACATACTATATTGATTTTTTTTCTTTCTGAGAACCTATACAACAATTATAACATTCTTTAGCTTGTGCTTTGTTATATTACTCTTATAAAACTTATATACATATTTCCTTATTTTCTCTGTGATTGTAGTGTTCTATTCGGGACCTGTATTTCCTACCTTAAACTCTACATTTTTCAAAACTATATCACATATAGATATATCATCTCCTTAGATTTAAAAGTAGTACTGGCACACCTCCATACGATTTTCTACACTTTATGGCGAATTTTACAAAACTACCTCGCATAACAACTCATTCCGGACCAATCCGAGTAAATGATCATTTTCATCCTAGTTAGAGGCCTTTCTAGTTTTTGGTCAAAACTAATGAAATGTAGTAGACTAAAATATGAAACTTTGGGGACCAATATCGACCAAAGATGATATCCCATGATTTTTCTATGATTTTTACAAGACATGGGTAGAACAATGGATTTTTCATAAAGGTAAAACTATGGTTATGGTTCAATCCACTCAACCCATTAAGTCCCAAATTGGATTAAAACCTTCCAGGTATGAAACACATCAGATCTAGGTCCTATAGGAATTTTAGAAGCAATGAGGAAGATATCATACCTAGGTCGTTGAGATTGAAAGCTCCATACAAGTCTTGCACCTAAGACGATTTCGACAACAATCCAAAAACCTTAGCCATAATCGATGATCTATAACTCAAGCTCCAAACCTTAAAATAAAAATTGCAATAGGTGAAACTTCAATAAATGTCTTTAGAAGTCGCACTCTAAATTACTCGACAAGCCAACGGTTCAATCTCCAAGGATCGTCCAAGTACTGCTGAAAGGTCTTCAAAATGGGAATTCCAAGCAATATGGTTATTGGGGTTAAGTTGTGTTTAAGGTCCCTTAAGTGAATGACCAAATTCAGCTCTAAGGCCCTAATTCAACCTAAAACCTTTCTCATTAGGTCCCTAGGTTTGAAACAATAACTTCATTGCCCCTCTTTGCAATATTTTGACTTATAAGTCCCTAATTCTTAATTTGGTTCTTCATAATTCCAACTATCATCGATTTGACATGCAAGTAATAATAATTTCATTTCATACTCCCCCTATACTTAGTCTTGAAATATAAAATTAACTACTAAAATTAGAAAACATCTGAATTTATAACCTCACACTTTAATTTTATGACCCATAATTATAATTATTTAAATTAAATGTAAATTAGGGTGTTACGTTAACATTTAGGGTTTAATTCAAATGGTGGGTTGAGCAACCAAGCAAGGAAGGGAAAGAGCAAGGCTCTTCCCAGTTATAAATCCATCATTAAGAAAATCGTTTATTCCAAAATACATTTATTGAAAATCAGAGTAATATAAGAAACGAAAAATCGTCATGCTACTGATAAGTGTGTACAGTCCCACCTTCGCCTTCCCACGATCACCGATAAAACTTGAAAACATAAAAAACTGTGTAAGCACAAAGCTTAGAGAGTTCCCCCAAAATACCACATATGATAAACATATAGAAAACAACATGCATACATGAGCCTCAGCATGACTAGACTATCTCCCATGCCTACAAAATATTTGGACCGCTCTCAGAGCCTTCAACATGACTAGACCACCTAACTGGGCCTTCAGCCTATCTGGATTGCTCTCTGGGTCTTCGGCCTGCCTGGACCACCTCGCATGCCTTCAGTCTATCCAGACCGCCCTGGGTATCTTGGCCTTCATCACAAAGTAGGACGGCCTCAACCCACTACCAACATATGTGGACATATAAACAATCAAGGATCAAGTAGGCACATAATATAGGCAAACATCAATCATAAAACTCACTACCATCTACTAGTCCTCTCACTATACATTGTCTCACTACCAGCTAACCTATATGAAATGTGTAACCATAAGTAACCAGATGTAAGATAGCCACTCGAACAGGTGATCCTACTCTAGAGCCACAACGAAACAACAAATAGGCAAGCAAGCCTATATCAAGAATTCTTAGGCTATCCTACATGACTACATACAACCCTAGGTCACTCTACTAGAGGATAACCAGCATACCACTACTACAACATCCAATCATATAAGGATATATACACAGATCTAGCAGATCACTATAGCACAACAACATCCTATATACCTGCATATAGATCTAACATATCGCCACAACATAACAACATCCTATATACCATGATACATAACCTAGTGGGATGACATTGGTGCCTTCGAACCACATGTACACTGAGGAAAACTCGGCTGATTCGAAGAACTCTGAAACACTGCAATACAATCTCCTTTCTGTAATGCTTGCACTCGCAAATCCAATAACACCGGAACTAGATAGAATCTTAATGAATATCCCAAAATCCTAAAGTTTGACCCGAACCAAGGTCAAACTTGGTTAAAATTCAATGGTCAACGAAAGGCAAATTCCAACACTGCTGAGTATGCCCAACGTATGCGACCTGATCCCACTCCTTCATTAAGCACTTAATCCCTTAAGGTCTTTTATCCATAGCTCAAATATAGACTCAAAGCATCGAATTAATTCATAACGTTTCCACCTTTATAACTTTCCATGGCTAGAAAAAGGTTCAAAAGTTAAAACCCTAACTTATTAATCCATTAAGACATAACAACTCTTGCATGGAAGGGATAGAAGGACCAAAATCACATTTTTTTTTTGCTTCCTAATAGCTCCATAATGGATAAAGTTTCTGACCTTACCCATTTAGATGGTCCAAATAACCAAGATCTAGTCTTTAGGTCTCAAAGGGACCAAAAGTTCATCTTTCTTAACTTAATGCATTAAGTCTAATTCTCCAACCTTCACATCTGAATCAATATGATGTTTAGATGGATAAAGTTTCCAACTTTATCCATAACAAGGTCACAAACTTTAAAGATCTAAAATTTATGCACTAAAGTGACCAAAAGCTCATAACACCCAAATGCATCATCAAGATTCAAGCTTTATACCTGTAGAAGAAAGTTCAAGGTGAACAAGGTCTGGATCTACAAGCTCCAATTCAACCAACACTTCTCCAATGAGCTCCTTCTTCTCCAAGATGCACCTAGAATACTCCACAACACTAAAAAAAAAACACCTTATTTATCTCACAAGGCTCAAACTAGGGTTAGGGCTTCAAGGGAGAACGTTGGAGAGGTGGAGGTTGAGACTGGTAAGGCTTTGCGGAAGTTAAGGGGCTTAAATAGGGCTCAAAATGCTGAAATTAGTGTTTGGGTTTTGATCGTGTATGCAATACGCCCAGCCTATTAGGTTGATCCTCCATGATTAGCCTTGCCTAACATGTGCATCGTACACCCCATAAGCCCAACGTACTCGGCTTAGCCCAAAACCTTCATAACTTCTAACGGTCGTAACTTCTTCGTTCAAACTCCGTTTTCAACGATCTTTATATATAGGGAAAGGTATTGAAGATCCCCAAAATATTATCTAGATATCTTGGACTAAAAACTTCTCGAACAAAAATCCATATCTCATGCAAGACCTCAGCCTATGACTTTCCTTTTTCTACCCTTCGGCCCAACACACAATTCAAAGGTTAAGCTCTCGCATCCATTATTTCCTCCATCCAAAGGTCTAATCATTACCTCCATAAGACCTAGAGCCTTTACATAATCGACTTCTGTCCTAGAAGCCTAAAATAAGAAATGCTAGGAAACATGATGTTACAAATCTCCTCCATTAAATTAGATTTCGTCTTCGAAATCAGCTCTCACTTCCACTTCATGATGCAACCCCTCACAT